GGTGAGCCTGAACCTTGTCTGGGAATGGGCCTTTTTCTCAATACAGAGGAAGTTAGTCTGCGTGTCAAGTGCCATCATCTTTTGTGAGCCTGAACCCTGTCTGGGAATGGGCATTTTTCTCAATACAGAGGAAGTTAGTCTGTGTGTCAAGTGCAATCATCTTTGCTGAGCTGGACCACTGTCTGGGAATGGGCGTTTTTCTCAATACAGAGGAAGTTAGTCTGTGAATCAAGTGTCATCATCTTTGGTGAGCCTGAACCCTGTCTGCGAATGGGCGTTTTTCTCAATATAGAGGACGTTAGTCTGCGTGTCAAGTGCCATCATCTTTGGTGAGTCTGAGCACTGTCTGGGAATGGGCGTTTTTCTCAATATAGAGGACGTTAGTCTGCGTGTCAAGTGCCATCATCTTTGGTGAGTCTGAGCACTGTCTGGGAATGGGTATTTTTCTCAACACAGAGGAATTTAGTCTGTGTGTCAAGTGCAATTATCTTTGGTGGGACTAAATCCTGTCTGCGAATGGCTGTTTTTCTCAATACAGAGGAAGCTAGTCTGTGTGTCGAGTGCCATCATCTTTTGCTTTGTGGACACAGGTTACTGTCCATGTGACCATTCAGGCAGATAGGTTGATTCAACTTTACCTTTGCGTTCGAGATTCGCCAGCAGGTCAGCCAATCAATGTCTCAACCAGAGATTTACTCATCATGCGTTTTTTTGCTTACAGAGTAAACTGCCAGCAATCAACAGAAACCTAATTTTAGCATAAAATAATTGAAAAGTAATATAAAAGAACAGGCAAGATGTACGATTTGATCTCTCAAAAGACCTGAACACTACCTACTCTTGCTATGATTGCCAAGACTGACTCGGATGATGATTTTCTGTCCATGAGCAATTTTGCTGAATGGATTATAAAGAGATTTTCAAGCATGGGAAATCTCTGAGACTAGCTGAGACCAAGGCTACTAATATTCTGTTCTTCCAAATGTTCATACTTGCTCTTAAACCTAATCATAGCAATAGGCAGTCAAATCATTTGCATCCTTTGCAAAAGTCTATTATTTCTGGCAAAAATAAGGTCAGGGTTTGAAAAACACTTTTGTACAGCACAACATTTGGGGTCTATAGGGAAATGGTTTAGCCTGCAACTGCTATTTTCCACAAAGCGTTGCATCTCCTTTTTTTGGCAAAGCACTCGTTAGTGGGACAGGAGTGTACAGGGAGGGATACCTCAGAGGCCCCCATTTTAAACTGATATATTTTCAGCTTAGCAAAAGTGAAGCACTTAACTGTCAACTAAAAACTGCAAATGTATGTGCCAAGAAGGAAAAAAAAACTTGCTGAGTTAATATAACAGATGGTCAAGCTGCCAAATATTCTTAAAGCCCACCTGCAGGCAAACAGGTATCTCCCCCAATCCCTCCCATCTCATGATTTTTAATATTATCAAGGTTTTTATTTGTCTGAGCCCGCTGTCATGCGAATTACAATTGAACTTATTCCAGGAGAGGATAATGATGATGTACAGTTGCATTCGGTGCTCACTGCCAACCGCAATCGGTCTTGTTACTGCCTCTTTTCCTATTGTCATCATACTGCGGCTGGGAACCCTGCCAATGGACAGCCATTGGGAAGCACCACATCACCAGGCAGCAATGTGGTCACCCAAAGAAATATCCTTCCACCCTGCAGTTCAGCAGGTAGAAGACTCAGGGCAGAGTGCCGCATGTGACCATGGATTTAGGTGATTGAGGCTTTTTGGGGGGAGTGAATATTTATTTTTGGGGGGAGTTTAGCTTTAAATATTTTCAGATATTTTCTAACATGTTGGTAAATTTGTTAGTCTGGAAAGGGGATGAGCCTTTCTCTGCATGTGTGCCTCTATTGGAGACCAGCCTGGGGTAGGGAGCACATTAGCACATGGTGTTGATTCAAATGAGTGTGGGCAACACAGTAGTCCTTCTGTGACTACTTTTTTGGTAAGTCCTAAATTACACAGTCAGTTCCTGGTCAGGTTTCAGGTTCATGAGCTGTGTGGCCACAAACTGCCTGCATGAAAAGATGTACATATTAACTTTACTACTTATTGCTAGACAATGACTATCCCAAATAGCCCTGCACAAAGGCATGCACAATTTTGAACTAGCAATCACTTTGTCTTGAAAATCCATAGTTAGCAGTACCTGATAGTATATGATGGATGTAGGTGCTCACCTGTCACTTGAAGTGGCAGGTAGCATAATCCATAATGCAATTGCAGGTCTATTGTCTTGAAATTCACCACTTCTAGACATGATTAAATCAGCCTACCGATTAAACATTTTTTTTACATTTTTAAGAGTCTTTAAAAGACCTTGAATTCAACCATAATTGCCTTTAACAGAGTTAATAATAACATTCATTAGCGGAACACCAGAGATCTATCATAAATGTTTATTCAGGCCTGTGTTGTAAACCTCTTCATGGTGTGTCATAAAGTACTTAGTGAGGCCTGTCTGACCAGAACACTAATAGCTCATCAATTGACAGATCCACTATTAAGTTGAATACACATACTGTAGATAGTCTGGAGTCAGATGACCTTGAAATAACTCTGTTAACAAAATTTGTTTCTAAAACTCAGACATGAATCAAAACTTTGGACCTTGGGGTGCTACATTAATAAGAATATATAT